TTTTAAATTCTGAGAAGACAACACAAATCCAATTTTATTTATTTTTACAAATCCAATTTTAAATGCATATACCTAACTAAAATTTCACGTCTGCTCAAGGATAAATGTATAAAGACTACACCACGGCGTTATTAGATAAAAATTTAAAACCACTTATATCACACTAAAAAAATAGGAAGAAACATTAAATTATGGTAGAAAGTAGCTATTTTTAAATAGCTAACTTGGTGGAGTCCTAGCTCAGTATACATGCTGACTGCAGTGCATTGGGAAGGCAAGAGTTTTTATTTGTATTTAACATTTTTTTCCCTTTTTTGACATTCTATTCTCCCTCCCCCACCAGCCTTTAGTAACCACTGAACATATACAGTATTATCCTTTTGTGTCTGGCATATTTTACTTAGATAATGTTTTCAAGCTTCACCTTTATGGTAGCATGTATCAGAACTTAATTTTTATTTATAACTGAATAATACTCCATTGTATGTTTATATTGCACTTTATCCATCCATTTGTTTATGGGCACTTGGTTGTTTCTACTTCTTGGCTAACATGAATTATGCTTCAGTGAATATTGGTATACCTGTGTGCTTGGAATTTAATACATACATCGACCCACCTACTGCAGTCAAGTCAGTTCTGACAGTGAATCCTATATATAGGGTTTCGAGATTAAAATCTTCAAGGGAGCTTTATTGTTGTCCCTCAGAGCAGCTGGTGGGTTTGAACCCCTGGCCATGCTTAACCCACTATACTATGAGAGCTCCTTAACAAGTCTATCTATATTGCTTTTGTAATTTTGCCTCTCTTTGTACCCCCTACACACACAGAAATTCTTTAAAAGATTATAAAAGGGAAAAATTTGGTGCTTAGAGACCCTTAATGGGAAGTTTTCGACTGGAATTTCCTTAGAATTTAAAGGTGATTTGTGGCTATAAAATAGATTTCTAGGCTGGAAACTAGCATCACCCTTCGAATCTGTAAAGCTCACGGGTTTCTGGCATGGGAGAGTTAGCCTGAAATTCAGTGACTGGGGAGTTTCTATGGCACTCCATATTCCTTTTCTCTACTCCGACGTTCTACTATTTTTCCATTTTCTCATTGTACTTTTATTATATCTCTGTGGACTTCTGGAGCAAGTATCCTTTTTACCTTTTGCTCACTCTTTAAACTTGCTAGATGCCCCTGGTGCATTGCCAAGCTCCCTTAATGGCCCTGAGAAATGAACTCTGCTCACTCTATTGAAGTATAAGCTTTGGTGTGCATCTCAGTGTGGGACTTTCTGTATTGATTATCAGTTTTTTTATTGATTAACTATAGTAATCAGTTTCTATATTGATTAAAGCTAAAGTAAATGATTTCCCAAATGTTTTTACGCTTAAGAGAATTGCTCAATCAGTATTGTATGGGTATGTAATCTAAAGTGACCAGATTTAAAGCAAGACACCATTGACCCAGGGGGGTGGGGTGTCTTGATTAAAAATTTGGTCTATATGGACCAAATAGACCGTTCCCTAGCTTGTTGTGCATTCTTTCAAAAAATCGGGACTTTTTTAAAACACCAAAAATTGGGACTGCCCCGCCAAAAGTGGGACATCTGGTCGCCTTATTGTAATCACAGAAATTTACTGCCTACGGTGAACTACATTTCTAAGCACTCTTACTCAGGGAAGACCTTATATGTTAGGGGACACAATGAGCTCATCTTTACTCGCCATATTTCTATCAAAAGGTAAGCCTCCTCTATACCTCTTGTTGTCATTTTAATGTCTTTCCCTTTAAATGTTCCGGTCAATTGTATCAAAATTTCATTTCCCCTGGTTTTATTCTTTCTAGCTTCCTATTGACCGGGGTGGAGGTGAAGGAAAGGCTATGTACATTGACACGGAGGGCACTTTTAGGCCAGAACGACTGCTAGCAGTGGCGGAGAGGTAGGTTGCTGGGTTAGAGGGGGTGGGGTGGGGGTGGGGGTGGCTGTGCTGGTACTGTAGTGATTGCTGGGATTGTTTGGTCGACAGGTGTTCCTTCCTTTCTTACTGTTCCACATCTGTGCTTGACAAAGTTATATTGGTGATTCAAGAAAATACCTATCTTAGAGGGGGGAAAAAATCATTCTTTTATTCAAGAATTTGTGTTGCTTTCACAATTCATTTTTTTAATAAAACCAACAACACAAGCTCTAACTGAACATTAACTATATGACTTCCAGAGAGGCACTTCAGATTCAAAGACCCAGATAGACTGAAAATAAAAGGAGAGAAAAATATAGCCTATGCAAACTATATGAGAGCTGGAGTGACGAGACAGAATGAATCGCAGCTAGAATATGATGCTTGACTAATGCTAGAAATGAACTTAATCGGCATAGGGCACTCCAGCCAACAGCAACATGATGCCCATTCTTTTTTTTTTTTTTTTTTTAAACATTTTATTAGGGGCTCATACAACTGTTATCCCAATCCATATACACATCAATTGTGTAAAGCACATTTGTACATCATTCTCAAAACATTTTCTCTCCACTTAAACCCCCGACATTAGGTCCTCATTTTTCCCCTCCCTCCCCACTCCCCCCTCCCTCATGAGCCCTTGATAGTTTATAAATGGTTATTTTGTCATATCTTGCCCTGTCCGACGTCTCCCTTCACCCACTTTCAGGGTTTCTCTGCTCCCCAAACTCAAAGAGCATTTAAAAGGAATATGATTTTAGTCCCTCGAGGTGCCAAAACTATTTTGGCATAGTGTAAATTGGTGAGCATAGAATTCTCCAGCAAAGGATTAGAAAGGGATATGCCACCTTCAAAAGGGTATAGACCTAGGTGCAGGAAATGTCAAGAAATGATAGCTTCATATTGTGATATTTTTCTTTAATAATGATTGTATTATTTTGTAGCAATACTTTTTAACATGTATAAATTTTTTAACATATATGTAATATATATTTTATATACACACCAGGGGTAGGGCACCTTTTTCTGCCAAGGGCCATTTTGATATTTCTGAATAGCAATATTCTTGGGCCATACTGGTCAACATTTCATTAACTCACCCCTAATGCGAGAGCAGGAACTGCCTCTGGGACGAGAAATGCGATGTTAGCTGGTATTGGTGACTTCTTGGGCCTTATATGGCTTGCAGGTGGGACATTCCCCATCCCTGATGTGTATTTGTTTTATATGTAGATGTACACACACACAAACTTTTTTTTTAATCATTAGGGGCTTGTACAACTCTTATCACAATCCAGATATACATCCATTTTGTCAAGCACATTTGTTGCCATCATCATTCTCAAAACATTTGCTTTCTACTTGAGCCCTTGGTATCAGCTCACACACAAACTTCCTAATTGGAAAGGGTTGTATTCTTTGAGCTTGAAACTACTGGCAGTACTACTGCCATTAATTTCAGCAGTAGAGATGAATTTTTCATCAGCCTGGGTACCAAGCCCAATGTAAAAATGCTCTCCCCGCCCCTGTAGATATGGCCTCTCTGGCAGTGATGTCCTGGATAATGTTGCATATGCGCGAGGGTTCAACACAGACCACCAGACCCAGCTCCTTTATCAAGCCTCAGCCATGATGGTGGAGTCCAGGTATGTCCTCAGCAGGAGGCACTGAATCCACTTATGCACTCCCAGGGCTCTCACCCTGTGTCATGCGTAAGCTGTTTGGCCAAATGGATAGTTGATAGAATTAAAAGTGGGCACAGTTCCGTTTTCAGATTGTTTTTGACATATTCTTTGATGTCTAGAGCAAGTCACTGTCACAACATGAAGTCACTGTCACAACTCTTGCTGTTGTTGCCAGGCCTCAGATGTGATTGATTTATAATAGTTAATAAAATGTCCAGATACAGGTAGAACTTGCTAGTGAGGGAGACAGAAGATTGTGATGTAGACTAGAAATAAGCCTCAGCGAATCTTGTTCCCTCTAGGTACGCACTACTGATTGTAGACAGTGCCACGGCCCTCTACAGAACAGACTACTCTGGTCGAGGCGAACTGTCAGCCAGGCAGATGCACCTGGCCAGGTTTCTGCGGATGCTTTTACGACTTGCTGATGAGGTAAGCTGAGGGGGTGGGATAACAAATACCTACTTTTGCCAGCCATGGTACCAGGATCCTAGCTGGGAGAGCCAGAGTTCAGGGCCTAGTGTCATTGAGCTGGAGCCCTGTGGTACAGTTGGTTACACATTGAACTGCTAAGTTAGCAGTTCGAATCCAACAGCTGCTCCTTGGGAGAAAGATGATGCTGTCTGCTTCTCTAAAGATTGATAGCCTCAAAAACCTCAGGGAATAATTCTCTGTCCTGTAGCATAGCAGTATGTTGGAATGGACTCAGTGTTGGGTCATTGAGTGTGCATCATTGAACTATCAGATAAAAAATTCTCTAGACATAAGTCATTGATTTGTGGTGGAAAGGGTAGCATCATCGGGTCCTTGGAAAGTTTGTGACTGCAAACTGACACTGTCCTTTCCTCCTCAGTTTGGTGTAGCAGTGGTAATCACTAACCAGGTGGTAGCCCAAGTGGATGGAGCAGCCATGTTTGCTGCGGATCCCAAAAAACCTATTGGAGGAAACATCATTGCCCATGCCTCAACAACCAGGTAAGCTGATGGGACATGTGGATTCTAGGGATAATCATATCAACTCAGTAGATAAAGAAAATGTAGCATTTCTATCTTAAATCCTATTAAAGCTACTGACATAGGCAAGTATTTGGGTGTTATTGCTAACTTTAATTTCTATGTTTGGATTAGTACAGGTATTTGCCTCTAAATCATTCATTGAATAGTTAAACCTGTTAATTCTGACTCACAGTAACCCAAAAGAACAGAATAGAACTACTCCCCACCACCCCTAAGGTTTTCAGAAGACTATAACCTATGCAGAAGCAGGCTGCCATATCTCCTCCCCGGTGCCCGCCTCTGAGTGAGTGGGGTCAAGCTATTCTGTTGATAATTGAATGCTTAACCACTGCGCCACCAGGGCTCCTACAAAGTCACTAAAAGCTCTCAAATATGGATGCATGAATGTGAATTTGCGAGCTCTCCCTGATAGTAAAGACACTGTTGCGGTTGTTTCAGTATTGGATAATCCAGAGAGGCCAGGGCCGGTATGGATGCCTTCAGGTTGGAAGTGCCCTGGTGCCCAAAGAATCTAAAAAGGGTCCCCCAGTGCTCTCTAGGATCTGTGTTAATTTTAAAATTTTATATTTACTATTGGTAGATCCATGATTGTGATAAGAGCTGTGATAAGAACCCCCAATAAAATGGTTTTTTTAAAAACTTGGATTTACCATAAGTCAAGAAATAGAATTTTTCTTTTAAAAAAAATCATTTTATTGGAGACTCGTACAATTATTACAATCCATACATACATCCATTGTGTCAAGCACATATGTACATTTGTTGCCATCATCATTCTCAAAACATTTGCCTTCTATTTGAGCCCAAAATGAAATTTTTCATTGTGAAGCTTTGGCTTGTCATTGACCAGACTGTACCTGAGGAAAGGAAGAGGAGAAACCAGAATCTGCAAAATCTATGACTCTCCGTGTCTTCCTGAAGCCGAAGCGATGTTTGCCATCAATGCGGACGGAGTGGGAGACGCCAAAGACTGAGTCCGTGGGTTTGTACCTGTTGTAAACCTACGTGCTGCAATCTAGCGGAGAGGACTGCTCCCTGGGGTTCTTCACGAGCCTCTTCCTGTTGTGACTGCCGGGAAAAGTATTCTGGGAAAACAGCTATTGTATTTTTCTGTCGGTGTAAACAGGATGCAGGTCAGTAGTCACAAGTGAATCTGAAATGTTGGTTCTTCTGAAGTATGTTAATCTATGTGATTTCTTTGGTTTGTAGAGATGAGCTGGGGAACACCTTGATAAGTGCCTTGGGGCTTGACTAACAGCTACTGGACAAACACGTCGTATATTTTCAAGAGCTAAAGCTGGGGAGGTAGTCTGTGTCTGATGATGAAATACGTTGCGTTCGCTAGGTCTCCTCACGGCTTCTTTCTCTCCTGTCAATCTGTAAACAGGTGTTTACATTTGTGAGTCTGGACTGTTTGGGGTTAAGGAATGCTGAGTAGGCCTGCCAGGCCACTAGCACTTCACTCTATGCTTGGGTATTTGCTGCTACCGGTGCAAGCTAGTTCTGAGATATTAGCATTTCAGATTAAGTAAGCATTTTCAGTGTGAAACTGGTAATAAAATAGTTTTACTTATAGTGGTGTGTTGTTTGGGATTTATTCATTGGCAAGCTAAATATTTCAAGATAGGGCTGCCATAACTTTTTGGCACTAGCTAGGAATAGTCAGTCTATATAGTTTTTCAAATTTGAAAAGTATGCATCATTTAGGGTCCTTCAGACTGGTAATGGGGAATAGTAGACAAATCTGCCATAGCTTTCCTATGGCCCTTTTTATTCCAGAAGTCTGAGATCGGCCCTTGCCCTGGTTACTTTAGGGTTTGAGATATTCTTCCTCACTTTCATGAGTCTACCTAGGCTGGGTGTTACTGGCTTTTCCAGTTCCTATGGGCCTCAGTATTGGGGGAGAGCAGCAAACGTGCTGCCGCCGCCTGTGTTGATCCCACCATGTGTAGAAAGAACAGGCCACATGCTGCAGCTGATTTTTAAAAGCAGCTCTTTAGAGATTAAGAATCTGGGGCTGAAATAACTGTAGACATGTCACTGTCCTTGGCAACCAAATAAGGTTTGTGAGATATTTTACTCAATTTTGTCTTTGACCCTACTCCCCTATTTTCTTGTATTGAGTTGCATCTTTGCTAGCTGCATCTTGCAGTCCATATTTACCTAAAGTAACATGCTCAGGTCAAATTTCACCCCAAAATTTATCATAGACACCCCAAAAGTTGTTAGCCTCAAAATTGAGTACACCTTGTCTTTCTACATCACAAACCTGGAATATTAGCAAAAGCCAGAGCCAGATTCCAGAGCCATGAAAACTTGGTTCTTATGTAAAAGTGTCTCAATCTTAAGAGCCCTACAGATAAATGACTGATCTAGAAATTTTTCTTCTAGGTGAGATTTTTTTTTTTTTGGCGAAATTAAGACTTTGCACCATTAGTGCCTCTGACTAGAGAACGCTAGGGGGTGGGACACCTGACTAGTTGCAGTAGGTAGATCTTGTTAGGCTACAGAAAGCCCCTCCTGCAACACTAAAATTTTTATCGGAAATAGCATTAACTTAAGAGCTTAATTTTCTTTTTTCCCCACCCCCAAGAGCTTATTTTAAATACTACATATTTGGAGCCCTGTTTTTCTGCTTCTCTGCAATAGCTTCTGTAGGAAGAAATCATTGTGGAAGTGTCAAGTAAGAATAAAAAGCCTAATAATGGAAACAAACATAAAAGGAGAATAAGTCTTTCTAATCAGATTTGGTTTTTATTTCAAGTATGTACCATAAGACATTTTGGGCAACTCTTTGGACCACTGTTCCACAGTATCATAAAGCCTTGCTACTGCTGTCACTCTAAAAACTGCCAGGACGTTAGAAACCACATGGCCCAGGCCCTGGCCCAGGAATACAGCTGAACATCCACACGATCGGTCGGAGAGAGGGCAATGTCTGGGTTGCCCAGACCCTTTCTTTCACTCTGGTAGGTAGGCTGTGACTTTAGAACTAGATGAACTGATAGTGAATGTTTGTCAGTGAAAAGGATTAGTTAATTATGTTCTGTGCTTTGTTCCCGTGGCTCCCTCACCAGCAGTTGAAAGGTGGTGTGTTACTGGCTCATCCTCTCAGCTCGAGCTAGCCTCCAGCTCCACCCACACTCTACCCTATGGCAGGTGCTATGCTAGCCTTGATTGTTCAAGAATTCACTTAAGGGGGAGAAGAGAAACAGACCTCAGCCACTTCCCCAATTTCAGATTAGTTAAAGGATTAAAATAAATTAATAGGATAACAGGGAAGAAATTGGAGATTGGTAGCAGGTATCAGTCAGACTGTGAGCCAGGACACTCCCCAAACCAGTCTTGCTCAGTTTCCTGGCATAAGCAGGCCTGACCAGAAACCAAAAGAAAACATCTTGATTTTCCCCTCAAGTAAACCGTGGTGTCCTTCAAGTTATAAAGATTAAGGAATGTGATTATTCCCCTAAAATTACTTCCAATTCTTCCAGGTCCTTCTGCAAAACGGAATCCTATAGAGAGAAAAGAGAGATAGGGCTAGAATTCAAAATCCTTTGCCAACACCAAACTCCTGGTGCTAACTTCAGAGTATGGGCCTATTACCAATGTTTCTCCTCTCCCGATAGCTTGGAGCCCACATGAGACCTATACACACACCACAGGCCTACGTGTAAAGCTCCTCTTTGTTTCCAAGGGAAGGCTTTCTTTGCTGAGATATGGTGGCTCAGTGATAGGGCCCGATCTTAGAAAAGCCCCGAAGTATAATTACTTCATTGGTGATATTGGGCAGCTCCAATGCCATCTTCATCCACCGCCTCGCTTCAGAGCTTTTTCCTAGTTCTCTGTAGCACTGAAAAGACATAACGGTGAAAACCTGGCAGGAGACTAGAAGGGGTCGAGGTGTGTACATTTAGGAATTCCCAGAAATGGTATTTATACAACAGGACTTCAAGAAATCTGTAGGAAAAATGGAATAAAAAAATAGTGGAATTTTTCCACAAGCTTTTTGAAGCCTCCTTGTATACTTTTCCCTCTCTAAGGACAGCAGATATGTTTACCTTACAAATATAAACTCTTCCTGCTTTGGAAAATCCTGGCTGTAATTCTTCAACCTAGAGAAGGAAACAAAGCATTTCAGCAAGAGAGTTCCAAATTCAAGTCAGGATGGAGTTTATCCAATGAAGATTCCCAGAGATTTTCAGCCTGGAGACAGATCTATTGGGCCTGAGAATCTTCCTCTTTTAAGCTCCCTAGGTGATTCCGATTTTCCCATAGAGCAAACAAAATTGTCCTTAACCAGAAACTCCTCCCATTAAGGGTCACAATTATGTCTTTGCAAGAAAGAGGGCCACCATGTTATTTTGGGCTGGTGCCTTGCCTTCCTTCCCCGGTTACCTTCAGGAAGCTCTGCAGGGCGTCCTGCACAGAGGCGCTGAGAGGACTTTCAAACAAGGCATTAGCAGTTTTTTTTTCTAGCCAGCTCAGGTGAGAGACCTGCCACAAAAGGTGTGAATTAAGTTTTATGAAATATCTGTAGAAACATGGAAACTTCTGTACTGGCAACAAACCAGGTTAAATAGAGCTGTGTGCCTCGGCTCCAGTAAATAGTCTCACAGGAATTCAGAGGAAATTGTACCTGGTCAGAACCAAGATCTTCTTAGGAAGGGGAGTATGGCCACAATCCTCAAGTCAAGCCCTGAAATGTAGCTCACCTGGTAGCACCACCTGCCCAGAAGCAGGTGAGCCATGGGGTTTCCTGGCTGGAGAGCAATGGCTTTGTCCACATGCTCCTGAGGGAGAAAATGTACATAGGCTAAGGTGACCAGATTTAAAGCGGGACACCATTGACCGGTGGGGGGTTCTTGATTAAAAATTTGGTCTATATGGACCAATTAGACCGTTCCCTAGCTTGTCATGCAGTCTTTCCAAAAATCTGGACTTTATTTTAAAATGCCAAAAAATGGGACATCTGGTCACCTTAACATATGCTAAAATCACCCAGGAGTTGTTAAAGGAAGAGACGTAAGGCCCTGAGGCAGTAGGGAAGCCCTGCTAAGGGAAACTGGGAGGGAGCCAGGGGAGGCTGCCTGGACCAGCACAAGCCTTTCCTCACCTTGAAGCTAAAGCCACTCTGGATGCGCCTCTGGATGCCCTCATGCTCAGCCAGCTGACCACAAAGCACTGCAAACCTAAGGGGGGGGGAAGCAGCAGCAAGCTCAGCAACTAGGGCTGGGGACCATCACTGCAGGGAGCTGGCTTCCCACCCAAGACCTAGAGCTGAAAATACTTTATGTATTCAGAGATCTTTAGTAAATACACTGGTAGCCTCACAACTCTATACTAGTACCAAAACTGTCCTCCACAGTAAATCTTTTCTGTAAACCTAAGAACGCTGAGACAAGGTCCTAGTCCAAATCCCCAGAGTCAGAAGTTTCCCCCATTCATAAGGAGTATAGTCACAGGAAGAAAACAAAAACAAGAAAAGCAGGAGATGGCTTAGCTCCAGCGAGCTGGTTCTCCTGCTGTTTCCTAGGTAAACAAGGCTGTTGGCTTGGGAAGCATGCAGGGCTAGCACTAGCCTGAGAAACCCTATTTTAGGTCTTTTGGGTGAAACTGGGACAGGAATACTCACGGGATTTCTTATGTCAACTTGGAAAGCAAAGAAAGGCCTCTAATTTCAGGGAGACTCCCATAATTCCCCACGAGCCAACTTCCTATCCTGTTATCACGAACAAGTTCCCTCTACCCCAGAATTGATTACTTAGAAGCACATTTGACAAAAGCTGAATGTCTAGCCCATGCCCAAGTTTCTCTTTCATGGATTGTATTCACTAAATATCTGAGTATTTGTATTAGACACTACCAGGACTCATTTACATATAGACTGCTGAGCTGAAAATCTTGAGACCAATTTCCACCCTTGTGAGCACCAAACAACAGCACTTTTGAGACCTCGGTGGCCTGGCCTCCGAGAAGAGCTCTTGCAGAAACTGTTTCAGCCTGCACTGGAGAACCCCTGCCTTCCTCTTCGCTCGCTATGAGGGCAGAGACGTGGAAAGCAAGGGGTGGCAGTGGAAGAAGAACATATTGACTGAAATGAGCTGTCAGAAGCTGGGCCAGGTCCTGGGACACAAGCTATGGCCAGGTTCCGATCCAGACAAGTTGGCAGAACGTTGTCTCGCATGAGACAAATCAGGGCTGGTGTTTTCATAAGCTAACAGTGACTGCTGAACTTGCTGGGGAGCCAACAGCCAGGGACCGAACTGAGGAAAGAACTGTGCAGGAGAAATGCAAATCATCCTAGCCTCCCCAGGGAGGGACAACACAAAAGCTGTGCAGCTAGGATGGCTTACAAAGTTACTCAGTTCTCCAAACCCTAATGATGATAAAAAGCCTCTACCCTCCCTTGTCTCACCTGGCTGCCATCTAGGAAAGAAAACTCCCCTGGGTTCTGGGTGGGGGTAGGGGGGCAAGTTTATAAAAATATAAGCCATGGTGCCCTCGCCTGGTTCCTCTGGCAAATGCCCTAGTGACTGGATCAAAGGCCCTGAGCTCTATTTCTGACCCACCCTGGCTCCTCTCAGGGACCCTGCAGGGTGTTATTACCACTGGTGACATTCGGCACTCTCGGCCCCCTTCTCCAGAGCAGCCTCTGCTTCTTCTTTTCCTGTAGGACAAAGGTAATGCAGGAGTTAGGCAGGCTCCTATGCACTCGTCCACAGGAAGGGCTGCTAGAAAGTGATGGCCTTCGCTTGCACCAATCCCTACCCAACATGGACTGGCTATGAAGTCAGGAATTTTCAAGAGTTGCATTTGTACAATATGACTCCTGCTTCACCTCTGCCTCCTGTCTCTTCCGCTGTCCCAATTACCTTCTTCTCTTGAAATAAACAAGCATTTCAAATATAAAGAGATGGGATGCAAAGGCAATCAGAAACTCCCCAGCCAACCTTCCTTGGAAGGGTTTTTGATCTGGGGTCTACAGAAAAGCGTCAAGGTACCTATGAACCCCTCTGAAACTGCATAACCGGTTTGGTAAATGAGCACTTTGCTGGGGAGAAGGGTCCACAGCTTGGATTGAGTCTCATGGTAATTGCTCCAGGCCAAAATCCTCCCCACAAAAGCCAAAAAGACTAAGGTCTACCTAGAGGTCACTGTCTCACCCAGGTTTTCAAGACATCAAGACCAGTAAAGAAACTCCCACTCTCCCTGCCACATAGATGCTTTTGAGAAGAGTCCCTTAGGGGAAAAGGAGGCTGGAGCCTGTACCCATCCAGCAGACGGCATCGTGCCTACACACTGGGGGAGGAGCACACTGCAGAATAGGACTGAACTGAGAGGGCACGGGAGAGAGCACAGTGCCAGTGGAACCCATGCCGTGTTGAGACTGTCCCTCAGCCTTGGATTAGAGCAATGAGGGCACAGTGTGTTTATATAACAAGGTTAAGACAACTGGTGCTCTGAAGGACCCAACACCCCCTTTTCCAAACAGAAGAGCAATATGGTCCCACCATGAGGAACAATGTCTGCCTTAGTGGGTGTCCCTTAAAGACGGACCCATTGCTAATTAGAAAAGTAATAGTGAATAATAAGACAGCCAGTTCCTGGCAAGTTGATCTGATCCTGCTCATTAATGAGCAGTTAATGAGATCCTGCTCATTAATCTCTAGGTTGAACTATGAGGCTTTGACCCAGGTGTCAGGCTGGCCAGTGGAGAGAACAAATATTGCCTAAAGCCCCATAGAATGAATGGCTGTCTCCTGGTGGTCCAGCTTGTAGAGAGAAAGGAAGGGCCTTCGGTTCAGCCAGGATGGCCCTAAAAGGCAAAGATCTACCTCCCATCAAGAACTGACTTGTCCACAGGGGCTGAGCTTGGGGAGCCAGACCAGACCAGTGCTTCTCTGTAGCCTCCCCACTAATGACCCCCCCACCTTCCCTATTCAGACCTCATGCTGCCTCTTGGTATTAATAAGAGATGGCCAATGACCAAAGAGAAAGAAAAAGGTTGAAATCAGGAGGTCAAAAATAATCCAAAAGCTAATCATAAACCACACTTGAAATATAGGAAGAAACGCAGAAATGGTTTTGAAGAGAGAAGAGCAAACTACTTATGCCAGCACTTTTTGGTAAAACGTGCCAGATGTTTCTGAAAGGCCTATGTCAACCATCCAATTAGGTGGCCTGCTCTTTCTATGCTAGCAGAATTCCACAAAAAGTGTTTTGACAGTGAACTTGATATAGTCTCAGATTCTACACTATCAGTGAGAAAGTACATGAACCCACTGTAGAGAGACCTGCTAACTTTAATTTACCGAACCACAGGCCCATTGATGATACCTGATTCAGAGAGTGTGGCTTGGCAGGACACATCATGTCCCCATTTTACCAATCTCTCTTCAGTCCCAGGCTTCTTGGTGACCTCAAGGTGGACAGGGACAGCCTTGCAGCCTAGGTCAGGTACAGCCTACCCCTCACCCTAGGACTGTGACAATAGGCTCCTCAAGTGGCCCCCTGGGACTTGTAAGCTGGCAGTGATCTCCTATGCTGCTGCTCCTGGGCACCTACCATGCGGACTCAGCTCCTATTCTCAGGACATCTGACTCCCAAGCCCTGTGGGGAAATTGGATTCCTAAGCAGCAGCAAACGCCTTCAGATTAAGAAAGGAGGCTTTGCTCACTCTTTGAAGTTAGGGACTGAGAACAAAGTGCAATGTTAACATGATACAACTCCTGAAGACATGTGCCTGTGCTATTTAAGCCTCACGAGGAGGACACGGATTCTTGGGAACCAAAGAATGAGTCCCTGTTGAGTAATTAAGCGACAGCTTCCTTAGCGTTTTGGTCCTAAGTAGGGCCAGCTCTGCCCTGGAATCAAAGTCAGTCACCTTCCCACCAGGAGCCCGTCAGCACTTACCATTTAGAGCATAGGACTTCTTCTCAGTCACCTCCTCAGTGAGCTCACACATGTCACTGTAGGCTCGAGCCAGGCGCCACAGAAAGTCCTGCCGGCCTCCATACTGTAGACCAAACATTGTATGAGGCCCGCTTCCGCTTGACCTCAAGGGGAGCGGGCCTGCCTCTCCCCACACCCTAGGTTTGAGTCTGGAGGGCAGTGTGACACCATCACTGAGATCAGGCCAGCTCTTAGGCACAGCCCCATACCACATGGCCTCTCCAGAGCAGCTGGCTGACTGATGGCCCAGGGCCTGCCATTCTGGTCCTGGCCCTGCCAGAAGAGCCTCAACGGAAAAAACTTAAGGAAGTATAGCAAGAGAGAAGTCTCACTGACAATGAACAAACTGTGAAAGTACCCAAAATAGGGGAGAATTACCACCCAGTGCTTATGCTCGAATAAATGTAGGCAGGGAACCTGGGGAAGTGCTATCCACTTACACTTGTGATAGAAGCTTCCAGTGGGCTCTAAGCCAGCCCCCTCCTATGCTGAGAGGTGAAGCTCTCTTGCAGGAGGCAGAGAGCTGCTCTGGGAGGTATGGGGGGGCGTGGGCAGTACAGAGCCCCCAAGGGGTAGGCCCAGCCTCAGGAACAAGACAGCAATCTTGGGAGATAGGAGCCTCATTTCCCTTGGGCCTCCCTCTGTGGCTGGGGACTTGCGAGGGGAAGCACAGGGCGGTTGGGGCCCTCACCGCCAGCTTGTTGTTGAGCAGCAGCTGGAAGCCCTCCCGCTTGTCCTGGTCACTGCCCTGGTGCAGCGCGTCCACCTGCTGCAGGAGGGGCAGCACATCTTGGCCAGAGTCGCCTCCAAGCTCAGGGGCACTGGGCTCAGGGCCCAGGGCGCGGACCAAGTCGAGAGAGTCCTTTCTTCCCATCTTAATGGGATCACAGCTCACATCATCGTCCCCGGCCTCACGCTCCCTGTCAGAGTCCTGATCGTCGTCAGACTCCGCATTGGCTGTTGTGTACCTGGAGCAGAGAAAGGTCAAGGGAGAGGGTTATCCAACCCCCAAAAGCCAAGGGCCACCAGAAGA